TCCACAAGGAGAAAAGGAGTTAGGCCAAGAGCGTGGGGTTATGCGCGCGCGGGGGGGGGGGGGGGGTCGTTTTGGCGAGAGACTCGGAAGCACATGATGCGGAGAGCGCAAAGGTTGGAGGGGACCCTTCATCTCTCGCCGAAGAGAGAGAGCGGAGCGATCGCCGTTGCGTAATATAGGCAACGTGTTAGGCCGTCCTCTTTTCAAAATTTGCAGACGTGATTGATTACAAATTGATTACAACGGCAAAGAGAGGCCCGCAAGTCCACACCCGTCGGGTCCCTTGCACGGAGCGAGTGCCCGCAACCAGGCCTGTTTGCCGGTCCCAACACACCGGAAGAGGGAGGGTTCTCTCTCTCACACAAGCCTGGGTTGTACGGACCTCACAAACATAGCCCCCGTTATCCCTTACATACCCGTGTTCGACGTGACGGCGCTCCGGGGAATGATCGATCTTATGCATATGTTTGCATACGACGATTCCAACGACATTCATTTCAAGTTTCCCACGCTCTGGGGGCGATGTACATGAGCTTCGGTGAGCGGGGTGGCCTTGATAAATATGGAATGTGATCATGCGGAGCAGCTACTGCATGGTTCTTTGGGGCGTGGTTGCCGCGAGAACATCATCATGTGTTGTTATTACTTACAGCAGTAGGGGCATCGTGTCCACGATGTTGCGAAAACACAAGGCATGTTGCTACTGTAGCTATTCTTACACATGTCGAGGGCGGAGAGAGGGGCACTCCCCCAAACCAATTTCGTTTCATCAATGTCGTACGCGCAAACAACGTCGCCAGACAGGCTGTAGGAGAAGTGACGCTGACAAGAGATGCCGACAGAGCTGAAGCAGCAAGCGCATAAGGGACAACGTCAAGATGCCAAGGGTAAATCGGCGGTGTTGACCTTCACGTCCAAGAACAGCTACATCTGCAGCAGTACCGCCGTAGTGGCAGTTCCCAACAAGTGAAGTCTCGTTCTCCACTACAGGATGGAACCGCTCTCCCTGGCTGCGTCCGATAAGCAGACCGCCTGGCAACACCAAATCACTGATCTACCCAAGCACAGGATATCACCGAGAGGCAGCAAACGCCCTACTGCAGCCAGAGCCAGAGGCCCTCCCAGAGAGGTCGCCGCCCCGACAGCGCTCCCAACCGCCGCAAAACCTGACAGTCCCGTGTATCTGGATCTCATTCCCTCTCTTGTACCAAACATTGTCTCTTATGATCGCTGGGCCTTTCCCTCTAGCCACAGCAGCCAAAATGTCCGCGGGACACCGTCCGTGGTACAAGGGCTTCCGTGGCCGGTTTCACTCACTCGTCGCTTGTCCGCAGTGGTCTTCCCAGGAATGCTCTTGAGAGTGAACGAGGGACCGGTGGTAGGGTGGGACTTGCCAGCTTGCCGCTGAGCTGTGCCGCCTGTACTACGACTCTTGGAGGCCGCCTTCCCTTTGTCCGACAGCATCGTCAGCAGCTACCCTTCGGGCTGATCCCCAGTCTGGTTGGCCCCTCCTGGGGTGTGTGCGTGGAGGAAGAGGGGACAGCACAGCAGTGCAAGGAAGTGTGAGTACTGAGCAGCCACGATCATGAGTTGCCCCGTGAGTTCTTTCGTGCGTTGCCCCCCTCTATATGTATTCCAATGATTGGGGGGGGGATCATATGCTGCAGGTTGCGTGGCCACCGCAGAGTGCAATCCAAGTGCCATGTGGGGGCCTGTTGATGCGATGACGACTTGCTGTAAGCAGCAGTGGTAGCCCCTTGTCCGCCTGGGCCCGGTTTTGTGCGACGCCAGGAGGCACCGCAGATGTCGACGTCGAAACTCCGAAGAAGTATCGCTTCTCTGGATGCATTCGATTGCACAAGCATCGAGGTGAGATGAGCAGCAGGATTAGACCCGTTTTGAATCCCGCCGTCTCCGCTGTGCCGTTGTCGGCGGAACACTATTTAGCATGTACACACAGCAATTCGCAACTTCCTCCCACACACTTCGGGGTCTCTGGGAGATTGTGCTGTGTTGTGGCTTGGTGCTGTCGAACTACGAGAATTGTAAGTTGCAGAGGAGCGTAGCTGGCGCATACCTTTCCCGAGCTACAGTAGTGGTACTGCGCGAAGTGTTCAACCAATGCTGAGCACAACCTTCGCGCCTAAGTACTTGTACATACACGCCCGCTGCTATACGTCGGATCTTCAACCACCGTGTATGCTCCAGAGACCCAGATTCTCACAGAGGGAACATCGCTCAACATTCGGAGACAGGAATGCTTGTTGCCTACGCCATGTTTGTATTGTACACCTGCCTACAACAGAAGAAGTTGTACAACCGTCAGTTTTTCAAGTGTACCGGTGCGTGCTATTACTGCTGCAATGCCACAACAGCAAGCACGCCGACGCTCCGCTTGGGCTAAATGCTACTGGTACTTTCTGTGTGTATACACGCGCGGTGTTGCACGGCGTCACGCGGCAGAATCGGAGAATTTATTGCCGGGCCTGTTTGTTGTGCATGAACCACCGCATTCACCGCCGTTGTCGCTCCTCCCCTCTACTGCACACAGAAAGACTAGTCTACAGCAGTCTACCCGTTCGAGATATTGTACAAATACACATACCCACAGCACAGCAGTAGAACGTATCCCGCAAGGTAGGTTTCTTCCCCACTCACTGCAAA